CAGTGGTGCCATGTTGAAAGTAGCCTTGATGTAATGTGATGAGAATGGCATGTGACCTCTTTACCTTTCAAAAACCTCTAGTTCAGTCTAACCATGAGAAAATATCAAATTCCAGTAGAAGCAAATTCTACAATGTATTTTGACCAGTATTCCTTAAAAAGGACAAGAAAAGTTTGAGAAACTGCCATAGTCAAGAGTACTCCAGGGAGATATGACCACTAAAGGTAATGTAGTATCATAGCTGGGACCCCAGAACAGATAAAGGTTATTATGTAAAACTGCAACAAAATGGCATCAAACCATTCCTCTGACAGTCCTCTCTGTGAAGCTAGGTTCCTTAATTCATTGCGGTGACCACACAGAACTCAGACAATACTCACAGTATGGCATTTATTAGGGACGTTAACAGGTTACAATGCAGGATCAGAAAATGTTCAGGACAGTTAGTTCTTCCAGTGAGGACAGCCATTCCTCAGTCATGCCCACAGACCGACTGCTCTCTGCCAATGCAATGTTACAAAGCTCTTTCAGGGTTGCTGATAAATGCTCCCAGGGAACACCACTCCACCATAAGTCTCAGCCTGGAGGCACTCAGTTCTGGCTCTGTGGGTCATCAAACCCAGCTCCACCAATTCAGTGCCTAGAGTACCCCACTCTGCAAGCAAGCCTCCTGCCCAAAGTCACTCCACTTTACTTGCTCCATGGGCTAGGAAGGCCAATGTTCTGTCTCGTGCCCTGGCTCTTGGTCCTCCTACTGCTTCTTCACCACTCCTACACTGTTAAAAGCTTTCTGTCCTTGGTTTGAGGAGGTTCAATGCACGAGGATCTCAGGGTCCAAAGGATGTACTCCACTCCTGGCTCTTTCGTCTTGATGGTAGTGAAAGCTCCCATTCCTGCTTCTGAGATAGTTCATTTAATACCTGTTAGAGTTCCAAGTTTTTACAATCACAATTAACTCTTTTAGCCACTCACAACTGAACCAGATAATCCTAACAGCATCTTCTCCCACCTTCTCCCTTCTCTTACCCAGACTTAGAAGGGCAAAAATGTTTAATGGGAATTACAAAGACTATGGGTAGAAGAGTCATATGAAGTAATTTACTGCACTGCAAAAACTAAGTATGAACTTTAGTAAAAAATACATATAGAATGTATTTGGATTCACTAATTGTAATGACACTACCATATTAATGTATGGTAGTAATAATGTGGGATAAAGGCCTGGACTGCAAGTTTGGTTTGAACCACAAGGTCAGCAGTTCAAACTCGCCAGCTGCTTCATGGAAACCCTATACAGAGTCACTATGAGTTGGAACTGATCCGATGGCATTTAACAACCTTTGCAATAGGAACCCTGGTGGCATAGTGGGTTTTGTGTTGGGCTGCTAACTGAAAGGTCTGCAGTTTGAACCCACCAGCCGCCCTGTGGAGAAAGATGAGGCTGTCCACTTCTGTAAAGATTTACAGCCTCAGAAACCTGAGGGAGCAATTCTACCTGTCCTATGAGTAGAGGGTTACTGAGAGTTGGAACTGACTTGATGGCAGTGGGTATCTTTGCCATAGGAGTACCTGGGTGATAAAAGCAGTTTCTACTCAATTACTAACCTAAAAGTTGGCAGTTTGAATCCAACCAACACCTCTGCATAAGAAAGGCCTGGCCATCTGCTTCCATAAAGATTAGTCAGGAAAATCCTCCGGAGTTCTATAGCACATGGGGTTGTCATGAGTTAGAATTGACTTGACAATGGCAGGTATCTTTTCTAATTTTTCTGTAATTTTAAAGATGTTCATTAAAAAAAAGTGTGGAAAGACCTGTTGTGTTGTGAAGTGCCATCGAGTCGGTTCCGACCCATAGCGACCCTGCATAGAGTTTCCAAGGAGCAGCTGGCTGGTGAGCTTGAACCACCGACCTTGCAGTTCAAACAGCATTGCAGCCTGGCGCATTAACCCACGGAAAAGGCCTAGGTGGTAACAAACTGAAATTCCATCTTTCCAACAGGGCTAATGCAGTCAAATAGCCTCCAAATTCTCATCCTCGTCTGTCTTTTGCATGATGCCAATGTAGTGCAACAGGATTCTCTATCTACCGCCTTTCTGGCCCTGGGTTTATTGTTCTACCAAAATGATTTGCTAGGTCACAATCTTACAAAGAGATTGGACAGTTTACTATGCAAATAAGGCACATAAAACCCTTGCAGGGACTGGTCAATTACTATGCTAATTAGGTTACTGGCCTACCAAGGTTAGATGGTCTGTGTGGGAGGTGTAGACATGAAAAGGCTAATCCCACTGAGGTTGGGGGAATCTCATTCTCATTAAGGAGCTGGGAATGAAGCTCATCTTTTGGACCCAGGGCCCCTGTGATGATAACCTCCTAGACCCAGGAGACAGAGTTGTAATACTACAGGCAATGTGACACAGCACAAGATGGCATAAGGCAAGACATGGTATTCAGCAGCACAAGCAGCAGTGTGAGGCAGTAGGAACCAGGGGACCAAGCCAAGATGGCTGCATTGAGTTTACTGGCCCAGAGCAAACAGTGAGCATTTTGGGGCAGGGGGCTTGCTGGTGGAGTGTTGTGCCTCCAGGTACTTATCAGCAGAGCTACAGTTGTAACAATTGCCCAAGCAGGGCAAAGGTGGAAAGGAGAATAACATGGCTGAGAGAAGGGTCTGCTAGCCTGGTCTATCAGAAGGCATGGGCTGCTGAGAGCTGTCCTGATTGAAGAATTGGTCCTGTCCTACACTGTTCCTGATGCTTCCAAGGTAATCTTAATCCTTAATTTCAGCCTGTTACTTCCCTAATAAACCGTATACCTGTATGGTCTGAGTTCTTTGGGATAATCGTAGTGAATTATCAAACCTAGCAAAACTGATTGCCATGTGAGGTGGCTGGTATCAGAACTGTTAAAAAGGTTAAAAGTTATATTTGACCTCCACCTTATAGGAGTCAGCTTTGGACTTATGGTTCTCCCTCCTCCTGAAGTTAGAGAACTTTTGATGCTACCAGCACATTTAGTCAGATTAACCTACTTCAACTGTTAACTTCAGGGAGTTCTTCCAATCTTATTGGAGGCTCAAGGTTCTCTTCCAATTCGAACCCAACTGTCCCCACCAGTCAAAATAGAATGTTCTTTCATCACCATACCCACCCGCTGTTTACTTCTGCTTCCAACCATCACTGCTGTCATGGATTGGATAGTGTCCTCCCAAAACACATGGCACTGTGGGTTAACGCGCAGGGCTACAAAGGTCGGTTTGAACTGTGAGGTCAGTGGCTCAAGCTCACCAGCAGCTCCTCAGAAACCCTATACAGGGTCGCTGAGTAGGAATTGACTCAACAGCACTTTACAACCAAATATGACAGCTTGGCTTGGTCATGATTCTGTGACTTGGCAGTTATGTAATAATATAATCATTCGCTATGATATGATCAGCCAATCAGTTGCAAGGGGATTTGGGTGGAAAGCCAACACCCTTAATCAAGTCACAACCCTAGCTGATATAAAGGGATTTTCCCTGGGGTATGGCCTGCATCACCTAAGAGGTAAAAAGCAAGCAAATCAAACGAGAGGAGACCTACTACCAGCAAGAAAGAAGGGTTTCTGCAATGGGAACCTCCTAGACCCAGGGGAAGACTGATGCTAACACACATGGAAATCTAAGAAATGCCAGTCCACAAATGGCAAAAGACAAAGCTCTTCCCCCACTGCCAACAGAGAAAGGCTTCCGCTGAAGCTGGCACTCTAAATTCAGACTCCTAAGGAGCTCTGGTAGCGTAGTGGTTACAAATCAGGCTGTGAACCGCAAGGCCAGCAGTTCAAAACTACCAGCTGTTCTTTGGGAGAAAGATGAGGCTTTCTGCTCCCGTAAAGATTTACAGCCTTGGAAACCCTGTACAGGGTTGCTGAGTCGGAACTGACTCCATGGCATATAACATACTGTGAACAAATAAAAGTGTGTTAGAGCCATTTACTTTCATAGTTTCTATTATGGCAGCCCTAGGTAACTTGCCTTTTCTTTTCATCAGAATCCCTCCTCTCCAACCTCCTTGCTATTGGTTAAACTCATCAATCTCTTCACCCCAACAATCCAGGAACTGTTTCTTCCCACACTATCCTCCTCTGCTCAGCACATACCACCTTCCCTTACTGGACGCTTCCTGCAGCACCCATAGTAATTCTGTTCACAGACTCTGGAAGTGTGTGTGGTACCTCTTAAGGGAGCTGGTACCAAGGAAATGGTACGGATTTGAGGCCCAATTCGCTTATAGGAAGAAGTGGAGAGAGTAGAAAGAATGAAGTTCATGGATGGGATTCATCTTGGACCGTGAAGTTTTTGCTCACTGGGAGAAGTGAGAGAGTAACTTTACAGTGGACAAGAAGTCTTTTTTTTTTTTTTTAATTGGGAAACCAGTGTAACAAACCCAGACTTATTGAAAATGAAATCAGTAACTAAGATCCTACAGGAGCCATCCCCAGCCAGCACCAAGGCCTTTTGACCTGACCTCTAGCCTCCCATCCCCCCAAAATAAATCATGTGGAGAACTTTGGGTCACTTCCCCACACTGCCACCCCCTCCACCCCACCCTCAACACACACATACCATGGATTGGTAGGTTGGGCCTAGGGTGAAGAAGGAAACAATGAGATCCCCAAGGTGGCAAAGTCACAGCCATGCCACAATCTGCTACTCAAAATCCTGTTAGCAAACCCACCCCGTTAGCAAAGACAGAAGTTAAGACTGGTTTGCCCACTACCTCTAATTCCAGACAGTAGGCCCACATCAATGATCAGTAACACTGTGATTCTGAGGGGTCAAGGTGGTTCTGAGGGGTTTCACCAACTCCTGGGTGATTACTGCAAAGGGCTCAGAGCCCAAGGGAGGGGGCAGGCATTTGCCCCATCACCAGCTAAGTATCAGCTAAGTTGCTGCCCTCAGCTTGTGCCTGGGTGTGCCTGCAGCCCCTCACCACTCCAGAGCATTGAAGGCTGGGAATAGTCCTGCCAGAGAGTAAACAGTTCGAAGCAGTCTGTTCTCCCCAAGTCTGGCTGTAAGGCCTGCGGTGACTACACAAGCTTCTTGGCTTCAAAGAAACTCTTGAGGTGCCGCATTTGCCAGACTCCAATGGCCACAAGGATGAGGGTCTGCAGGATGGACCACCACAACACCCGCTGGTTAGTGCTCTCGCTGGTCTGCCGGAAGCGCTCCTCCCGCCACTATGAAAGAAGAAAACAGAAAGAGTAAGTTGGCTGGTCCCTACTCAAGGCTGGTACATCTACTGGATTCCCAGTCCCTGAGGATGTCTGGGGCCAGCCAGGTGACTGCTAAGAGTCACATCACCTGGGTAGAGTCAGAAGTCACCTGGGGATGTCTTTACTCCTACCAGTCAGATGACTGCAGGCAACCCACTCATTTCTCCTGTCTGTTCTCATCGATGAAATATAAGCCCCACCTAGTCCTGCCCTGGTACCTGGGGAAGAGGTAAAATAGGTGTAGTATCACCCCATGATGCTGTTCTGCAGTACACAGGGCTGGACATATTGTGAGCCCTTGGCTCAGTTCTCACAAACAACACCTTGAAGACTGTGTTATAAATTGGTGACCTGGGGGTTGGATCTGGCCTATATGTGTATTTTGTTTGGCTCACACAGTGTTAAAATTTCAATTATTTGCAACATTTAATGCCCAGGAAGTTAAAACTTTAAAAAAAAAATGAAACCCCCTGAAAAAAGGGAAGATCTGACAACTCAGAGCTGGCATTTCTACAAGGCATCTCTCAGCTAGCACTGCACAGTAAGGGCTCCCATTTAGAAGAGTCACTGCCCTACTGGTCTCCATGGTCACAAGCTCATTGACAGTATTTGCCCAGCTCTTGAACACAGACGAGTTTTAGATCCCTGGTCCTGGGAGCACTTGGAGCCGTGGAAATAGCACCCAAGAATGTTGGTATCAATCTTTACTCTGTCACTTACTATGTGATTTAGGGCAATGACATCATCCTAGAGGTATATCTTTAATAACAAAGAGGAGTCAGTAATCCCCAGCTCAGCTTCTAGTATTGCAATGAAGTGATAAGGATGCACAGGTAAGTCCCTTAGAGGCTTCATCAGGAATCTCCTAGATGAACCAGTGGGCAGCTTCTGGGAAGACCACGACTCCCAGTCCAACCACTCACCCGCTGGTAGTTCTGCTCTTTCTGGATCTGTTCCACTTGTTCCACCAGCTGTCTCACACGTAGCTGCAACTCACTCAGTTTGTCTTTGGCAGCAATTTCAGCATAGTCATTGGCATGTTCACCCACCTGAATATCCAGGTGAACTCTCTGGGGACAGATAAGGGAGTAAAGAGGAATCAGGTATCCCTGCTCCATTCTCCTGCTAAGACTCACAGCTGATCTCCCACCTTCTTTGTTTCCTCTGCTCAGTTACCTACCCAACACGGACTGTGGTATCCTGAGTGTCCCGCCCTACAGGGCTCCAGACCCAAAGGCAGGAATAAATAAGCTTGGTTGATGCTAGCAATCGTGTCCTGCAAGCCCACCAGAAACCCAGTCTTCTCAGGAGACATAGATCCCACATACTCATCTCACAAGCACAGTCCCACCAGTCCCCAGTGCTGAGCAGAACTAGAGAATAAAAACTGTTAGTCCCACATGTGTCTACTTACCAGCATGCCTCCAGCAAAGAGGGAGAACTTGGTGGAATTTGAGTGAAGACAGATCTGGTGCTCACCAGGGGTATGAGAAGTGAAAGTGAACCTGCCCTCAGAGCCATACTGCCGGGCCAGGATGACCTGGAGGAAGGGAAAGGGTTTTAGTGAACATTGGTGTGGTGCTGTGGGATAATGCGCTACACTGCGAAGTTGGTTTGAACCACAAGATCGCTGGTTCAAGCTCACCAGCTACTCCTTGGAAACCCAATACAAGGCCGCTATGGGTCAGAACTAACTTGATGGCACTTAATAACAACAACTATAGGGCTAACTATGGCACTGTAGTATAAAGCACTGGACCACAGGCTGGCAGTTCAAACCTACCAGACACTCCTTGGAATCCCTATACAAGGTTGCTATGAGTCGGAATTGACTCCATGGTACTTAACAACTGTAAGGGTGGAGTTGGAAGGAAATGGTGCTTAAGGCCCTAAGAGCCATCAGAGTTGATAAGTAGAGACCTGGGCTCCTCCCAACACTAAAATTTCCAAATTAGAAGTAGTTGATAAACGCTGAGAATGACTGGTGTCTGGATGAAGATGCTGGTATCCTAAGTTGGTAGGTAGCATCTCTTGGGAAGAGCATTATTAGTATCACAAAGTCTCTTCTTTTGGTGGATATTTTGTGTGTGTGTCTGTGTGTGTGTGGTGTGTTTATTGAAAGGTGTCAACACAAGGTTTTGTTGTTGTTTTAAAAACTTATTTGTCAAAATTCAAAGGCTTTATAATGTTCCCAAAATCCCAAAATCTACACATCACAGTTTTAAAACAGAAAAACAAAAAAACCTTCAATTTCCATCACCGTAGTTAGCCTACTCATCCACACTTCCAAACTAGGTGTATTTACATTTCACAACCCAGGGAAATGGGTCAAAAAAGGTAATGGAGAAAATCATGCAACAGGCAGAAATGGAGAGGAGTAGCGAGCACTGGGGCATCCCAGGTTTGCCCTGGAATAAAAACCCGGAAGCTTTCGACAACAGCAACTGTTATTTCCCAACATCTCAACAGATGCGGAAACTAGGTGGGGAAGCACCAGCGACTGCCTGGCGCAGCGCAGAAGTGCCAGGCGCAGGACTCAGCGGGGTGAAGGGGCTGGCTCACCTTGTCTTCGGGGTCCTTGACTTCCACGAACATGCCAAGGCCGGGGGTGGCCGGCTGGTATTCCTCCCTCTGCTTGTCATACAGCTGCGTCCGGTAGTTTCCTGGAGGAAAGCAAAGAGCGCGCAGATCAGAAAAGTGCTAGGCGGCTCTTGGCCCGAGGCCCCCAGTACACTGCGAGGTCGGCTCCTTCCGCCACTCAGGACCAGAATCTCCCAGACCTAACATGCCAAGACCGCGGTCTTCTTCCAAACTCCCTCCCTCCCGGTCGCACCTATGACCATGGTCTCGTCCGGAATCTCCTCAATGAAGCATTTCTTCTCTGTCTCTCCAATGTGGAAGTAGAGCGCGCTGCTGCGAGCCGCAAAATACAGGAGCAGCAGGAAGGCTCGCACCAGCTTGCCCAATACGGCTTCAGGCCCGGGCCAGACAACCCGCACGCCAAGCTCAGCAGCCATCTTGCCCCACCTGCTGGTGCAGCCGCAGTCTGCCGCGCCACGTAGCCCTGCCGCCGCCGCCACCGCAGGGCCTGCCGGGGCCGCGAGTTCGGCCGTATGAACTACAAATCCCGAGATGGCCCGCGGCCTTGGCGCGGCAGTCCCTGATTGGGCGCGGCTTCTCTTCCGACTCACAGAGACTTTGTATAGGATTTCCCAAGAGCTTCTGGTGAGTTTGAATTCCCGACCTTGCGGTTAGCAGTCCAGTGCTTATCCTGCAGCGCCACACCAGGCTGAGTTGTTGTTTATTGTTATTAAGTGCTGTCGAATCGGTTCCCACCCATAGCGATCCTGTTTGTGTAGGGTTTCCGAGAAGCAGCTGGTGAGCTTGAACCTCCGACCTTGCAATTCAAACGGCATTACAGTCTGGCGCAGTAACCCACAGCACCACACCAGGACTCCAAGCTGAGTTGTTGTTGTTAAGTGCCGTGGAGTCGGTTCCGACTCATAGGGACCCTGCACAGGGTTTCCGAGGCTGTTAATCTTTACGGGCGCAGAAGCCTCATCTTTCTCCCTCGGAACAGCTGATAGTTTCCAACTGCCGACCTTGAGGTTAGCAGCCCGATTCGTAACCACTACGCTATCAGGCTCAGTTGGGGCCCCCAAATTCTAAAATTATTTTCCGTATACCAAAGTCGTGCTTGGGCGATTGGTAATGTTTCTCAGCTTTATACAGCTGAGGAAACTAAGGAGATTTTTCTCAAAGCTTTTGCAGCGAATTTCGACAAGAAGATTTCAAAACTGAAATCTGTAATTTTGCTTGACATAGTATCTGCCACTCCTAGTTTGCTTCTGTTTCTAAAAATGGAACTTTGAAATACATAAACAATGCAGGGGGGGGGGCATTCAAAGAGTCAAGATCTCTCCTTACCCAGTCTCCTTTGCTCTCAAACGTCATACACTTCTTAGAGGTGAGTAGTTATAAATCAGGTCTGTATCCTAGGTCCTAAGTGCACGCTGTCTGTTAACGAACCAGACTGCAAAGTCATTTGAACTACAAGGTTGCTCTTCAAGCTCACCAGTTGCTCCTCGGAAACCCTATACCGGGTCGCTACAGGTTGGAGTCGACTCGACAGCACTTAACAACAACAACAATTGCTGACCGAAAGTTTGGTGGTTGGAATCCACCCAGTCGCCCTACAGAAGAAAGGCCTAGCAATGTGCTTCTGTAACGATTACAACCAAGATAACCCTATGGAGATAGGGAGATCACCATGTTTCCGTGACTGTAGCAGAAGGGATTGAGTTTGGTATCTCCCAGAAATTCGCGCACACGCATTCATACTCCTACACTTCTGGCAAAGTCTAGTCACCCAATAGGGGTTATGGTTCTTCCCTGGCTAGCCCAAAATGATCACCTAAAACCAAAAACCTAGATTTACTATAGAGTCAATTCTAACTCATGACAATCTCATATGTTACAGAGTGGAACTGTTCTCTAGATTTAATATTTAGGGGATCTGTCAGATGAGGCCGCAGTGCTGCTGGGTAGGATCCAACTGCCAGCCTTTAGGTTAATACTCCAACACAAACTATTTGCACCACCTGGATTCAGCATCCCACTCCTCATTGTTCCCATTTTGGAGAGCTCTGCAGTCAGCCCAAAAGTGGGCAAAGATCTGGATCAGCCCTTCTTGGTCTTTCTGGATTTTATTTATGTATTCACTGTTTTGGGCAGCTTTTCTTCAGAGTTAACCATTTAAGATTGTGACCTCTTCATGATGTCTCAATCATTTTCATTTGGCCTTAGGGAGGGAAGTTCAGTGAAATACATTCAGCTCCTCCTTCAGGAAAAAGTTTTTACCTAATTAACCTAACAGTAACAATATTCCACAATATGAATTACTTTTTTTTTTTTTAACTATAATTTTGATAAAGATATTTAGGGTTCGCTCCCAATTGTGAAGATATTTAGGGTTCTCTCCCAATTGTGGAATTCATCAAGTCATATCATTAGTATCACATGCAAGTAAAATTTGAATTACCTTTCAGTGAAGATAATTTAAAAATCATAGCAGCAGTACATCAACAAGGAAATTCAAGCAGATTTCAGAAGAGAAATGCAGAATATCATTGCTGATGTCAGTTGGATCTTGGCTGAAAGCAGAGAGTACCAGAAAGATGTTTACTTGTGTTTTATTAACTAGGCAAGCTGTGTGGATAATAACAAACTATGGATAACATTGCAAAGAATGGGTATTCTGGAACACATCACTGTGCTCATGAGGACCCTGTACATAGACCACAGCAGTCATTAGAACAGAACAAGGGGCTAATAAGTGATTGAAAATCAGGAAAGGTATGCATCTGAGTTGTACCTTTCACTTTACTTAGTCTGTATGCTGAGCAAATAATCTGATTTACAACGAGGTTCTGTTCAGATGACTCCTTCATAAATCAGTTTTGACATAAACTAAATCTTTTTTATTATTGCCTTATATGATTCATATCTTTAATAAATATTCGTCTTTGCAGTTGGAAACATTACATGCAAACTTACAGATATGTTTTAATATATAAAAATATACAAATCATAAAAATCTGTGATGATGTTGAGCTGGATTACATGGCATTTTGTCTGTTGCAGTATTGACTCCACTTATGGAAGGTTTTTTACCATCTTGATTACCCTAGGAATGGGTATTGTATCAGAAAATTAGTGAGAGTTGTCTGTATAGTCTTTTTCTTTTTTCATGTATTTCATGGTGACTTCTCATTGCTTCCTGAATCTAACTATAGACTTTAGCAAAGTGATCAGCATTTGGGTCCATGTTGTCAAGAAACTAGAGCCCCTGGTTTAGTTTAGAAAAAACTCCAGCTAATCCTTCCACTGGGAGTCCTGGTGTAGCACTGTGGGTTAATGGGTTGTACTACAACGTTGTTTGAACTGCAAGGTCAGCAGTTCAAGCTTACCAAGCACTCCTAGAAAATCCTATACAGGGTCGTGATGTGTTGGAACCGACTCTACGGCACTTAATGGCGACAGTCCTTCCACTAGAAAACGTTTTTTACTTCTCTCCATCTTCTTCATTCTTTCTTTCTTCTTTAGCAATTCTTTACTCTTCAAGACCTAGTAAGTACTGATCTGTCATTTCTCCTTTTCCATGATTTTTGAACTGTTTCACATTGATGATGGTGGTGGTGGTTATGTGCCGTGGAGTCGGAACCGACTCATAGCAACTCTGTACAGGGTTTCCGAAGCTGTATATCTTTACGGGAGCAGAAAGCCTCATCTTTCTTCCACGGAACAGCTGGTAGTTTCGAACTGCTGACCTTAAGGTTTGCAGCCTGATTGATGATATCAAGTCCGAAATTCAGTGTTCTTACTGTGTGGGCAGTTTTTCCACCGATTTTTTTTCCATCAAATTATCCTGATGAAGTTGTTATAGTGTGTTCACATAACTCAACATTGTTTTCCCATATCCTCTGCCTGCATTTTCCCATAATTTCCTCCCAGGATGATACAATGTTAAAGATACACTGATGAGTAGTAAGTATTGTTCTTTACAACTCAAATACATCACAAATGGGGGACTAACTGTATCCCATGGAGCCCTGGCATGGTGCTGTGGGTTAATGTGCCAGACCGCAAAGCCATTTGAACTGCAAGATTGGCGGTTCAAGCTCACCAGCTGCTC